GAAGAAGAAGACGAAGAAGAAGAAGAAGAAGAAGAAGAAGAAGAAGAAGAAGAAGAAGAGTATATAAAGGATGTTGTTATTGTCACTGAAGACCTAGGTTTGCAGCGTATGCAAAAGTGGTAGCTTTTGAGTAATTTGTCTTGATATCTCTATTACATTTTTGTCCAAAAAAAAAATGACTGACTACGGCCTAGAGGAAGTAAAAAGTCTTGTAAGACATAGGCAACCACTCTTTTTTCATGCTTTTATATTTTGAACAATCATTGTTACCTTTGTTCCACGGTATATGTAATCTGGGTTTTCCTCAAGGTCGTTTTCGTTTCCTTCATGAGTAGCATTATTCAGTTCACATCTGTGTCCTTCAGGTTCACTCCTCTTCATCAAATTATAACTTGCACAGTTGTGCTCCATGTAACAAAGCGAATCACAGAAATCTGTCATCAAGGGATCATGAACCCGTATCATGAGACGTTTGCCATGGAATACTTGTTCGGATTTAAATTCCAAGTGACGACATTGATCTGAAAGTGAGTTGTTCTTGATAATGTCTTTGTTTTTATGATTTCTTAATGGGCTGCCACAGTGGTGGACAAGAACTTCACAGAATCACAAAACCCACAACATAAAAACAACGTAAAACACAATTACAACACCCACAGCAGTTTACAACTTACACAGTCACAAAACGCAAAGAAAAAACAAACACAAAACCCACCTCATAAACACAAAACACGAAAAAGAACCGCAGAAAACACACAATACATTGCACAACCCAGATCACTAACACAAAGCGCACAGGACTAACACAAAGCTTAAATTCTTTGCTGTTTTGCTGTTTTTCTTTTGTTTTCTGTTTTCGGTTGTTGTTTTTATTGTTCCTGGGATGTCGCAGGGCCTCTCCCTTGACAACGCCTGTGAGGGACCAGGTTTGTTGTCCTGCGCCCCTCTGTACCACCCTCCCCTAGTGTGGGTCAAGTGATGCTCGGATGCCATGTACTCTTCGCGGTCAAAACGTTTGTTCTGTTTGTTCGCTTTCATTCTCGTTGTTAAACAAGAGGCCTAAAGATGCCCCTAAAAATATATAAGCCATTGGTTTTGGTCACCTGTTTTTATTACTTTCTTTTGCACAAGAACTTAACAACAATTTATTTTGTACCTCGTAAGAAAAAACATTATTTATACCATGACGACGAAAGAAAAGGAAATTAGGCGTCTGTTTAATTTTAATGCAAGCTTCCTATTTTGTAAATTTAGCTGTACCGAGGAATGAACGAGTCGAAGTAACAGATGAAAACCTTTCACTGCCCAAATTTTGTTTTGTAACTTTGTTCAAAAGAACTTTTCTTGACCCTTGTTGAGTGGCAAGATTTAAATGCTTGAACTGAAAATTTTCAGTTGTCTTTCAACTGGTGCGTAGATCGAGAATCGACTCTTGTTCCAAGCTACAGCCCTTTCGGGTGCTATCTGTTGGCTTTTACAATAAACTAGTTGGTGTCATGTTGTCTCATTTTATGTTCCACTGCTAGAATACATCATCGATATATACATTCTAAACACCGAGGGTGTCTTACTGTTTTTTGTTTTTGTTTTTGTTTTTGTTTTTGTTTTTTTTTCTCACATTTTTATTTTTTACTGCAGCTTTGGTTAAATATTTCTTTCTCCACTAAAAAAGAAATTGGCGAAACAGTGTACCATTTTTATAGTTGACATTGCGATAGGTTCTGTGAACTGATCTGCTTTAAATTTTGCGTTAGATTTGTGAGTTTTGTAATTCTGTTTTGTTCTTGTGTGTCACCGTAGGTTGGATATAAGAGGCCTTAACAAAACTGCACAGCTCGTTATTCAGTTTCACATGTACTAGCGATGTAAAATATCTCTAGTACATCTTGACGATACAAAATGTAACAACAGAGTTCGGCCATAGATAGGTAAAATGCGGAGATTATAATACAGCTGAGAATAGACTTGGGATCTTGTGATGTGTGCATATGATCACCAGTGGAGCATCAGCCGTTTTGTTTTACCTAACGCAGTGAGGTGAGTTAAGAAATTAACAAAACAAACACGAAAAATTCAAATAGTGAATCATTAAATATCACTCCTCACGCAGATTATTGAGTTGCCGAAGATACTCGAAGAAACCATATCATGCGTAAATAAACCAAAAGTTAGTTCTTGGCAAAAATGTGTACATAAAAATGTTAGATAATTTTCAAATGATTTTTCCAGTTTGCTCCAATGTTCTGACCTCCACGGGAATATTTACAGACGCTACGTAATAAGTTTAAAAGCAATCTGCTATTTCGTATATGTTGTCTGTAGAGTGAAATTAATGGTTTCGTACTGAATCCCGCTATTTCGAACAATGGAGAAAAATTAACTTGGCAAAGGTATTAACAGAATACCTTTCCTTTTCTTCATTTTTGACGCCAATAACTTACCCCAATAAGGTTCTAGCAGTTTCGTGTCCCACTTTTCTTTGCCCCCAAAAAACACAATTGATCTTCTTACTACAACATGCTGCAATTTGATTCACTTTCTCCAGCGGTGCAGTTGGCTAAAGTGTGAATAATAACTATACTATTTTTATTTATTTATTTATTTATTCATTTTTTTGACATTTAGTAAACCTATGACACTATTATCATCTCATGCAAAGAAAAATGCTGGTAACCGACATTGAGGGATAAACCTCTAACCTAGATCAGAAAACACCTGTTTCTGTTTTTTGTTTTGCTTTGTTTTGTTTCTTTTTTTCTTACCCCTTATACCTTCCATTTCGTTTCCCCTTTTGTTTTAATACCTGCAGGAAGAGAAAAGTTATCTTATTTTTTTGGCTTTCTCGAAAAAAGAGGGCAGAATACTGATTGGTATTTTTTTATAAAGTAATCGATTTCGTTCATGTAATCTTGAAGGATAAAAAAAGGCTTCCACTGAATTTACGCTAAAATAAAATAGCATAATTCATTTCTCAGAATAAGGATAATGGCGCTCAGAGATAGAAAACTAACGATAAAAACTAATGACCTGAAATTAGCATATATATGAAAAAAAAAGTCAGAACACGGCAGTGTTGAAAGTGGTGCAAAGCGATGAGAGATGTAAGCACTAAGCGTTACGAAAAGACGAAGTGACAATATTACCACTTTTATTTCGCAACGCCTAGTGCTTACATATTTTATCACGTTGCCCCGCTTTCAACACTCCTATATGTTGGAAAGTTGTTCTTCTTTTATCGCTAGCTTTTTTTTTTTTTTCCTTCTTAATAAAAGCAAACAAGCAAATAAACTTGTTGATTTCTTTGTTTTTCGTCTTTTGTTTGTTGCCATATTATAGTTGACATTTAAATGTCCGCCGGCCGTTTTCGTCATTCCTTAAATTTCTTACTTTTAATTAACAATATAGGAAGCAAGTAATACGCAGCGGGAGAATATTTTTTTGGCAGGAAATACCTCGATTACGCGGTAAAGAATTTGAATCTTGATTTACAATAGTCGAAAATTACAAAATTGGCATAAAGATAACTTAGGGTCGTCAATAAAAAAAAGGCAAATGTCAAATCTTTTTATTACGATTATTTTTCATAGCGTTCTTCGGAGATAAAAACTGCTAATTGAAAACGATGTATTTTAACATCTGCTTTAGCCACACATCCAGTGTACTTTAGATTAGGCCCATTCATTAGTCGAAACTAGTTTTGAAAGGTTCTAATCTGTTTAAGCGATTGATATAGTTATGCTCCGCCAAAAAGATTGCCTTTGAAATTTAATCTGAACGCAGGACTGATATAAAGAATATTCGTTTCAAGTTAGGTCAAATTGTAATGTCATCCAGAATATATTGCAAAATATAATAAAACTCTGTTTTCTTTTGAATCGAAGTCATTCGGGGATTTCTTTGGAAAATAAGGCTACAAATCAAACCTCCCCTCACGAACGATGCTGTCTTTTAAAGAATAGTTGGAAAACAGACAAGAAAGAACAGGAACGTTTGTAAGTAATGACAATTGATAATAATAACACAATGTGTTGGCAAAGATGGTTTGTCCAAGTGATGAAAATAGATGGTTAAAAAATAATAATAAAGGAACGGAAACTGACCTCCGGTAGAGCCGCTGACCTCGGGTATCAGAAAAGGCATCAAATAAGACATCCAAGAGATGACAAGGGAATGCATGCTAACCCATATAGATCTCGTGAGGGTAGAGTTGGCTACTAAACAACCCCCTTTAATAGAGTTGTTTGTGAACTAGCTGAAAGTAATGGCGTTGTTTGTTTGACCTTAAGTTTTGGCGTCATTTTGGACCAATAGGCTTTCGACTCGCGCAGTCCATTAATCAATCACTCATTGCGAAATTTGTTTCTTGTTGAGAAACTGCAGATCGATTGTTTTGAACAAGCCTATCATTTTAGCGTTTTCAAATTAATCTAAAAATCAGTCTCCTGTTCCTAGCCAAACTCGACAAATTGCATACGTAGGTGGTTCATTTAGTCATTTATCACGATAATTAACAAATCACCCTCAGTTTAAAGTGGAAGAAGCCAGCTGCACAACCCCTCTGATCTACTCCTCTGATCTAACCCCCCNTGGTTCATTCAGCCATTTATCATTATAATTAACAAATCACTCTCGCTTTAAAGTGGAAGAAGCCAGCTCGTGACTTCAAGCCCAAAACCTCTCTGATATACCCCCGCAACTACATGAAGTCGGCGCACCTACCCTTGCACTTTTTCACTTTCAACTTCAACTGACGTCGGTACATTTCTCGCATGAATAACACTGACATTTGTTCGACTTGATATTGTTCGATGTCTTGCCCAAGTTTAAGCTTCTTCCATCCGAAATTTGCCGAAAAAAGCGATGCTGAAAACTAAAACCAACAGCCTTTCAAATGCCAGCTTTTTTTTGATCAAAACTAATCAATAGTTCGACATTTCGGTTGCAAACTTAGCGACCAAAGGAATTCGAACCATGATGTCAAGCCCAACTTTGTTCGCGTTGCTCTTCTTTTCATTTTTAATCCTCAGATCAAACGAGCTTCTCATTTTTTTTAATTTCACGAAATGACGCTCGATAGGACAAAAAATAAACACTATATGCATTACTCGATTAACTTTTCTTTTACCGTGTCTCAATACAGTTTTTCTGAAACATACCATACATTTTTATCAGCTTTTTAATAATCTCCGTCCAATCCGATCGATATGAAAATTGCACCCGTGTTTGAAAATGAAATTTGGTAATCTATATTTTCATGGGAGCGATAAACAAAAAAGAAATCAAAATAGGTAAATATGAATTTTACGTGAACTAGCACAAAACTACAAACTATATGAGAAGTTAAGGAGTTTATAGTGCCTATGAAGTAAAAAATAATCACTGCTTATTTAAAAAGCTTTTCAAAAAAAGAGATATTTACGTTTTTGTATTATGGAAATCAGGAAAGTGACTACGTAACAAGTAGTTCCAGTAAGACAGTAAAGACTTAATGAAAACCATCTCTAGAAATAATGGCGCGGTATTCTTCAAATGTGGTACAAGAAATATACAGAAACAGAATCACACCCATTGTGACTTTGCCATGGCAACACTCTTGGCCCCAGTCTTTTTTCTGTGGAAAACAAA